GAAGGTTTGTCTAGCTGTATTGGAAATATTAATTTTTCTGTAGAGCTTAAGTGTATAAAGTAGGGAAATAGGTTTTGTACAAATTCTTACAGTTCGTTTCTCTCCGTTCCTCATTTGTTATACAATCTACATTTTATTACTATTTTGTTTTGTAAAAATAGCCTTAGAAAAGTTGCACAAGAAAACAGTTATCTACAATGAAATCTATAGTGGAACAGGTATGACACACAGCATTACATATAAAGAAACTGGTGTACTACTGTAGAACTAGAACTGTGACAGAAAAAACCTTTTCAGTAATAGCTGCTGTACACACAGTGTTCAAAGGTGGCGCTTTTTTTTATTAATAATTAGCCAGGCCTACGACAATCGATTGCTCTCATTGGTCAAACTGCTAATTGTGATTGACAGACAGAAACGGTGTGCAAATGCAAGTGTTTTCAGCGCCAAGGACGTTACATGAACTTTGGTCAGACTGGTGTAGAATTTTAGTTGAAATCTCTTGCTGTGACACGCCAAGAAGGCTCAACATGAGCGAAGCTAATCTTTCCGCTGTGGTTGTGGAGAAAGGCAAGCTGATATTGGTAAGTTGGTTGCATTGTTTTTATCTGAACAGTATTTGCTTAATACGTAAGAGTTATTGACAAATATTTGACCTTGAACCTTGGTTATACGTGCCATAGCAAACAGCCCCCCCTCCCCATATTAGACATACATAATGTACCTTGCTACACCCACAGTAGTTTAAATTGATGATATTATGACAGAGTAGTACTACGTAGTTCCTGCCAACATTTATGTAGTGCACTATTTATTTCTTGGAACCATTCTTAATTCTTGAGAAGCTCAGATTGGATTACAGGCCGCTTTAAATTAATCTCCAAGCAGGTGATACGATGGCAAGGCAGTATCCATTGGTAAGAGAAGTGTCCGTTGAAGTGGTGGCTAATGGGCACTCTTACGAATGGATACTGCCTTGCCACCGTACAATCTGCTTGGAGATTAGCTTTAAATTGAGGTCACGGGGAAGAGTGAGGGTCATATCATCATCATCATCATCATCATGCCTCCGAATAGTGATTTGCGGTGAGGTCATACAAATTATTACAAAAAGACTAGAAAGGCCAACATTTCCTCGGGAGCAAATGTATGGCTTTACCACATCGTCCGTACCAAAAATGGACCTATCCCCCTCCCGCACAAAATGAATTGTTCCTAAATCACTCATATTCTCATAAATCACTCATAAATGTAAAGTGTTCCAATAGTCTATACCCCCATGCAGCAATGGAATCTTCCAAAGCATTCTGCTGTTGGAACATGTAGAACTGTTTATAAAGTTTACATAATTCGAAGCCCTAATAAAGCAAAAAAGTGTAGACTATTTCAAAATGGGTCACATACCTGTAGTCAGGTGTCGAACCAAAGTTCTCAGATCCTGACTCTCAAATCAAGCTTCAGATATGCATAATCTCTGGTATCCGCTAAACATGTTTTAAGTATTGATTCGGAAACGGTCTGTCATTTCAGTGCCTCGAAGAGTGTGGCCCCATGTCATGCACGTAAATAATAACATCGATACCCGTCCAGTAATTAACACTACTGGGTTTCAGAAAGCTATGATCGATAGATATTTATCGTTGTTCAATGTGATGCTACTTAACCCTACCACACGTCTTTCTACATGCAGGAAGAAGGGCCCATTCCCCAACCAGGCAAACATGGTACGTTACATTTGGTAGTTAATTAGAAACTGATGACTTCCGATGTTTTGTATGTTTTCCCTTATTTCTTTAAATCTAAAGCCACATTAAATAAGGAAGCTTCAGGAAATTATATTTTTCAAAAACTTTATTATCATTCACAATACAGCAATACAAAAAATATAGTATATAATAATTGCACATAATGATACATATGAAATAAAATATAGATTTGTACTGTGAAAAGAGTTACCTATATGCTTATCATTTGAAAACTTGCCATTTTTCGTTGTGATCATCTACTTGTATTTCTATAGTCTTGTTTAGTGTGTTTCTAAAATTGTAAAGTTTGGTTTAAGGCATATATACTTTGCTTAGCAATAAGAATACAATGTGCTAGTGTACTGACATTTCAATTATACCGTATAGGAAATGGTTTTCAATTATACCGTATAGGAAATTAGAATTCAGGAAATTCAGAAAATTAGATTATTAGCTTTTTGTTACAGGGCCAAGGTTTCCCAACATAAAAATGTAATTATTAAGAATATTCATGTCCATTTCATATTTTTAAAGTCCAAAGCTACATTAAATGGATGAAGTATTTTTGAAATCAGATACCTTTTCACAGGCAGGCCAAGGTTTCCTAACATAAAAAAGTAATAATTGAAAAATGCATGTTCATTTAGTTACATGATTGGTTTCCACATTCACAAGACTATTGCACCGGTCCATCCATACATGTACATGATGCCAACTATCCACAAATTTATCAGGTTGGGTAATGATTAAATAGTAAAATTTTATTAAAAGTTCTCCATTCACAACCACTTGTTTAACAAGAGTTGTCGTTTCGATGGTCGTCTGTTATATCTTCATTGGGGAAATTATGACTGGTTCACTGTGTAATACCTAGCTTTATTGCATCGTGATACAGTGAACTAGTGAACCCGCAATTCAACAAGTTATTACAACATTTTCATAATGATAGAGACACCCCCTCCCCCAAAATAATGTTTACAAAAGTTCTGAATATTTCCGAATTCTTATTGCTTTGCTGAAGATAAAAGACGTTAACCAATCAAAAATTCCAATCTTGTGGTTGTGAATAAAGAACTTTCAAATTGCTATTCAATGACGTCCTGTATATTTTGCAAACACTTGTGTTCACGTCTTTGTCCCGAAATTTATCGCTGCCCCCCAGAGGTCCAACTTGCGATACACTCTGTGGGCATCTGCGGCACGGATGTCCACGTCCTCACGGAAGGGTCCCTCGGCAAGTTCATGCTGACCGATCCCATGGTCTCCGGCCACGAGGCCAGCGGAACAGTGCGGCAGGTCGGAGAGGGGGTGACCCATCTAGCAGTCGGTAAGGCCCGCCTTTCAACCACGGTGGTGTAATCTCAAAGCAGATCGTTCCGTGGCTGTAAAGAAAGTATTAATTTGGCCCTGCAGTATCCATTTGCAACCATTAGGCTTGGGTAAAAATGATTATAAAAGTCCAAAAATAAGCCGAAGTCTAAACCTCTGTTTGAAGGATAAGGGCAGTGAACGGTTACTGGAAGCAGTATCTACAATGCAGTCCCAAATTTACATGAGTGCGATATATACATATTCAAGTAAAGAAAAAAAAACAACAAACAAGAGTTCTGAGATCTCATACCTCCATGAAATATGGGCTTGCTTTGTCATACTTCATTTCAACATGTCCTCATTAATTATGCAAACAACCCCTACATTAACATAATATATGCATAGTGGTGCTAACCTTTAAGTAACTTACACATGTAACGAGGTATAATATTCCCATCATTCACCAATAAGGAGTCACATTGATTATGAAAATTAGGTCATCATTTGCATAATTGGTATCTGTTGATGTTCCGCCTACCACAGATTAAATAGATTACATGTATAGCAGTACCATTATATAAAACACTGTAATTATAGAATTTCCTCATTAATTATGCAAATTAAGTCCTCATTTAATTATGTACAACTCTCTCTCAGGTACCTACACACCAAAAATGATGAAAATACGTTGTTCCAATCTGAACTTATTGGCTTTGAAAGTTTTTACCAGAAACTAATAAAATAAGGCATATTTGTAACATGACTAAAATCCCTGAAGACAACAAACAGTACGACATTACATACACGACATGGCTCGCTGCTGAGGAGTCGCCAAAAATTTAATTGTATTTTCTGTTCTCCCCCCTGTCCAGGCGATCGGGTGGCCGTAGAGCCGGGTATATCGTGCAGGTACTGTACCAACTGTAAGGCGGGTCGGTACTACCTGTGCCCCCACCTGGAGTATCCGGTCCATGGCTTAATGTGCAGGTACAAAGTCCACCCTGCCGACCTGTGCTACAAGTAAGTAGCATGTGTATACATCCACCAGCACCGTATATTGCAACACGGCTGGTTTTATTTACGTTGTCTACATTCCTACAAAGTAGTCTGACTTTGAAGTTACTTCTAAAATTTAACTTTATCAATCATAGACATTTGATGCATGTAAAACATGTATTTTATCATAGGTGGAACGTTATCGATGCTATTTATGTTTATACGAATAATGACCTACTTTGCATAATTGCATAAAATGATAAACTGCTACATAATGATTTGTTATTGTAGTAAACTGTTGAACTTTATTCCAACATAACAAGTACAGAGAGATCAACTTTCCAACGACCACTGTCGCCTTCAGCAGGAAAATTAATAACCAATCACCTCCGAATTATCCTGATGAAGGCGATAGTGGTCGTTGAAATTTTTATCTCTCTGTACTTGTTGTGTTGGAAAAAAGTTCCAACATTTTATTATGGTGACTACGAACACAGAACTTCATACGTGTGACATGTGTAAAGTAGTTGAATGTTAACATACCTATGCATATTTTATTGTAATATAGCAGTAAATAAAAAAATGTTGAAATGAAATATTGCCAAGGATAGGACTTTCCTATACAGAATATATTTACTTTGAGCTACCTTATTTCGATAAAGTATTTGAAACACTTCTTAATGGTTCATGGAGGCATGGAACCTCATAAATTTTGTTTGTTACGGTGTCTGTGCATGTGACTACCATTATAATGTTGTGCTGTTCTCAGGCTGCCTGATAACGTGAGCCTGGAGGAGGGGGCGCTGTTGGAGCCTCTGTCGGTGGCTGTGCACGCCTGCAGCAGGGCAGGGATTACTGTAGGCTACAGGGTCTTCATCAGCGGAGCAGGTCAGACAGGGAGAGGGGGAGGGAGACGGGAGGGAGGAAGACGGGAGGGAGAGAGACGGGAGGGAGGGAGGGAGAGTCTGTCGGTGGCTGTGCACGCCTGCAGCAGGGCAGGGATTACTAAGTACTGTAGGCTACAAGGTCTTCATCAGCGGAGCAGGTCAAGACATAGCCGTGGAGACTCTTGATTCGGGCTTACATTTCATTACCCTCAGCAAGCGTCGTGGAGAGATCCATTACAGAACCGCAGATTTCCCATCGGCTGCCCGATGCTCCGTTTTCGCCCCGGTTTTTTGCTGTCCCGAGCTACCCAGCACGTCGGCAGAACGTACTGCACCTGCGCAGAACCCCGTATTTTCGCGTTTTTCGTTGGGTTTTTGGTCAACGTTGCATCAGAATTTTTCCTGTTGCAGAGGATATTCTTCCCGACATAACATTTGGAAACTACTGTCGAAATGCTAACCTTATATGAGCGAATACAACCTTATATGAGACATTCTGCCGAAATGCTATGTACAATACATTACGGGTTTCGCGCAGGTGCAGTACGTTCTGCCGACGTGCTGAGCTACCCTGCCATCTTGTATATAGTCGGAAATGTCCGTTGCGGCCGTCGGTAACGCTCGGTAGTGTCACGATTACCGAAGCGCGACCGAAAGCGCTCCGATCATAATCGGAAAGGCTACCGAGCATTCCCGACGGCCGCACCGGACATTCCCGACTATATACAAGATGGCCGCCAGGTTTGTAAACTTAGCGAGTTTAGTAGTAGGGAGGGAGGGAAGGACGGAGGGACTTCATTAGGTTATTTAATTATTTATATGTAGATCTATACGGCGTGAATAACGAACCAGCTTGTATTCTGTTCGGCTTTATTTTATGTCTTAGGTTGGTTCGTTCTAAGGCTTGAAGAGAAAGCATAGATATAAAGCGTAATATCAAAGGAACTGGTATATGGCTGAAATCTTTACAATGCTGTCATGTTGATCAAATCACCGATGGCTTTTCCCTGCAGGGACCATAGGCCTGGTGTGCCTCCTGGCGGCGAAGGCGAGGGGTGCAGCTAAGGTTATCATTTCCGGTAAGTTTTGGCATGAATATTCTTCCTCTCAAATCTGTGTAGTACATGTAAGTATCTGCATTTGTAATTAATAATATTGGCAGGGCGTAGTGCAAGTATCTTTTTGATATTTAATAGGTAGGTTGGGGTTTGGACAACGAAGGTCAAAGCCTGCTTATTCTGAACAGGTGAGGTCACTGTTTGGAGAAAACGTAGACAAATTGGAAAGGGTACAGAATCAAGCTGCAAGATTCTGTATGAACAACTATGTAAGAGGTGCTAGTGTCACGGAAATGAAAAGAAACCTACAGTGGACCTCACTGGAAGACAGAAGAAAGATGTCTAGACTATGCATGATGTACAAAATGACTAATAAACTGGTGGATGTCCCAACTACTAAGTACCTAATACCAGCCCAGAAGAGAACAAGAAATAGCCACGCATTCAAGTACCAGAGTTATCAACCAAGGATTGAGGTGTTCAAGAATTCATTCTTTCCTAGAACTATCGCAGAGTGGAACTCACTGTCACCAAGTACAGTAGGGGCATTGTCAATAGATAGCTTTAAACAATGTCTAGAGCTAGAAGTTCAAGGGTTAGGTGTAACAAGTCGATCGGTGTAATATAGCCAGCTGCCGCCGCGCCGCGTGCCTGCGAAGCTGGTGTGTTACGCCGAAAGGCGGTTATACCGGCTATACAGATACAGATACAGACGTAGCAAAAAAAAACAATATCTTTTCCGTCGGTAAACATAAATATATAATCTACGACAATACATTGCATAACACAGGAAAAAAGAAGAAATTACTGTCCCATAGAACAAATAATAAAAACAACGTAACTATGGAATTTTTGACCTCTTGTTATGATCATTTTCAAGAAATTGGCGGCGTTCTGCATGTAAATGGCCTATACAAATGATATCATTAATGTAGATGTCAATGCCAAGAGGCTGGAGGTCGCTCAGCAGATGGGAGCCCACGTGACCGTGCACGTGACGTCACGTGACAGGCAGGCAATGGCGGACCAGGTGGTTGGAGCTTTGGGCGGGCATGCTGACGTCACCATGGAGTGTTCCGGGGCAGAAGCCGCCGTACAGACAGGGATATATGTGAGTGAATGAAGTCTCCACAAGTCTCAAAGTAAATAGGCGTGACGCATGCAACATAAATAAGGCCATATAGAATGTCCGGAATCAAAGATCTTAAGTTTTGCTGCTAGAAGGGGCTGCCAAATCAACCTTAACTATTTTCTACCAATCTTAAGCAATGTCTACCCATATACCAAATATCAACACAACCCAGCCTGACTTTTTTTTTTGAATGAATGGATGTATGTGTGTGTGTGCGTGTGTGTGTGCTTGCGTATTTGTGTGTGAGTGTTAGTGTTAGTGTGTGTGTGTGTGTGTATGTACGTGTGTGTGTGTGTGTATGTATGTATGTGTGCATGTGTATGTGTGTGCGTGTATTTGTGTGTAAGTGTATGTGCATGTTTGTATGTGTATATATGTGTGCGTGTGTGTGTTGTATGTGTGTATGTATGAATGTGTATGTGTGTGTGTTTGCGTGTGTGTGTGTGTGTGTGTTTGTTTGTGTATGTATGTGTTTTTGTGTGTGTGTGTGTTTGTGTGTGAATGTTTGGAATTCCTTGTTGATTTCTTATTCCATGTATAGTAGCACTACCCTGTCGTTGTCAATCAGCAGCTGGGAACGATGGATAAATGGTTACTTTTGCCTGCTTCGTTCTTCAGGCCACTAAGTCCGGGGGCGTGATGGTGCAAGTCGGTCTGGGCGCAGACATGATCACCATCCCGCTTGTTGACGCTGCCTTGAGGGAGGTCGACATCAGGGGCACCAATGCCTACCCAAACTGGTGAGGAACGTAACAATCATCTACACATCGTATCACTAAGTCCATGTCACACATGAAATATGCTGTATTTCTTCCAGATCAAGTATTTGCCTTTCTAGTTCGTTTTTGCATTAAAATGTTATGTTTTTCTACATATTCCACTATCACGCACTTGCAACTTTCGAGTTCCTGTGTTCCTTTCACGGTGTAATTCAGTTCCTCCCAGTCTCATTGACCTCCAATTTGATCTTCCGGTCAGTCTGTGGTTACACCATTTTCCCTCTCGCTACTGTGACTCTTTATAGATACGGACACACAAGCCAACAAAACACACGAATAATTATAGAAAAAGACTGATTTTTTTTAAAACTCGGTCAGCAAGGGATGGCAGGCCACGTTGTTTTGCCAATAAGGCCACAGCGAGTACATTTTATGGATGACATCCTCTGCAGACTCTAAATCTAATGCGAGCGAGCGAAATAAAACAAGGCGGGCCGAAAAAAAACAAGGTTCCTACATTTTAAAATTTTGACTCAATCATTGTACAAATACACATTGTACACATATACACAGCCAGCATCACATATCACTGCATCAAAGTAAGAAACAAAACATTAAATCAGAGCCTTTTCTTGTCTCCTCTCTGTATAGTTATCTGCCATCCACCTTTCAGCATGGCAACAGACATCTTTGCCCGCCCATTTTCGGCATGGTGACCACTGTCAGAAGGCAACAAAAGTTCTTGTTTCTTTTTCCAAAATCAGGCAAAAATTAAAGCGCGCGCTGATGTCATCCATAAAAATTACTTGCCGTGGCCTAACGGTGGTAAACTATACAGCACAAAGAACGTTTGGGTAGATATAAGAACATGCATGTACAATGAAGTAATAAACATATTTCAATATGAACCGTGTATTCTACAGCTATCCTACCGCCCTGTCCATGGTAGCCTCGGGCCAGGTGAACTTGAAGCCTCTGGTCACTCACCGCTACAGCCTGGAACAGGCGCTGGAGGCCTTCGAAGCCGTGAAGAAAGGGGAAGGGATCAAAGTCATGGTGAAGTGTGACAAGACCAATGTTTGAAACAAGAGGAAGCAGACGCAAAAAAAAAACACACCAGTACATGGACCTATACCAGCAGAACAGAGATATACACTATTATAATAGTTAACTTGTTGTGAACACATGCTCCATGTAACAGGAGCTTTCTGACTAATTTGCATTATCTTGTCTTGACTTGTATGACTAGTAGTTCCCTTTCCGACTTCCAAAAATTGTCTTCAATGTATTTGCATATGAATCAATTCGATAGTTTGTACAAACCTACATTTCACCTCTGGTCTCTCAGTCACTGACGAAAGCTAGTGGATACTAGCTGAAACTGGCGTCTGACCGTTTCCAACATCATATCTAGTTGTTTGAGTAACTGCTTTTTGGCGCATGTTATTTCCTCCGCTCTGCCTTCACGTCTGATGACCGTTACCATTCAAACGATCTGTTCCTCCAAATTTTGCGCGCAAATTCTGATTGGTTGGCAGCTCATTCATTATTTATAGGCCTTCTTGGGGGTAGGCTTAGCTATCATCATCAAGATGGCCGCCGCCCAGATCGTGGCCTAAATATACGTTTGTGACTTTGTATTTACCATCACTTTAACTCTATTTAGACATTTTTTTATATGCTGGGACCGTGGGGGCTTTTGAGACCCACCCCCTGTAACTCAATAACCACTTATCATAGTGCTGCATTATTTTAAGAGAATGGTGTTATAGTAAAATTAAATCATATAGTTTGGTGTAATTATTACCAAAATTGCCTGTCAGAAACCGATTGAAATGGCAACAGGAAAATTTATCAAGTTACGCAATTAATATGGAATATAAATTCTAGGACAAGCTCCAAATTTGATGGTTCTGGTGCGAGCCATTTAGGCGCTAACCGAGATGGAATTTGGTGCAGGTCTCAAAAAGCCCCCCCCCA